CAAAACTCAAATGTTTACCATTCTGAAATATAAAAACTCAGCAACCCTGCAGCTGGTGACAATAACCTCGAAGTCAGCGACAACGCTCCCTCCAACTCCAGACAAGGGTGTCTCGGAATTTATCCCTTGTCTTCTTCCTGAAGAAAAAAATCACCTACGAGGCAGAGGGGACACTACGCAGCACAAACGGCACACTCATTTAATTTGGGAAAGGTGGGGAAAAAAAAAAAAAAAAAAGAAAAAAATCAATCCACTCATTATAAACATTATTAATCAGCTGAATAATTCAGTTATGTGGTAATGACCACTGGACAGCTAACCTGCACGTGGCAGATGCACAGAAACTGGCTAAAGCTACACTTCTTTATCATCCCCCTTTTTATACACAGCGAGAAGGAAAAAACATCTTAATTTTTAGCAGCACTTAAGTGATATTAGAGAACCAAATCTTATTTTAAGTAGCAGCTTAAAAATACCAGTTTTCATTGAAAACTGGGCTCATTTACTTTTAAGCATTCGCTGTGCTTAGCAAAATTGTTGGGTGTGTCAGTATTTTTCAAAGTCTGTCTCTTACAACCTTAAGCATTTATTACAAACTTTAGAGACTTCCATATCTAAAGGCATTCATCACTTTCTGAAAACAGGACTTTTCCTGTTCTAACGATTCATTTCAGAGCTGCAGACACATTCCTCAGGGAGCAAGACTGCGGACTCGGAGCACACATGACTACTCTCCAGCTATGCCCTCTTGACATACTCTCTCTAAAAGGGCTCCGATAACTCAATCTTGCTGTGGAGTCTCAACCTAGCTGTCCCAGGAGATAGCCTACTTTCAGCCTATAAATTTTACCAGCTTTGCCCTGGTACGTTCTGCCGGTTACGGATATAATTTTAAACAGTGCCTGAGGTATTCTGTATCTCGAATTCTACCTGGTCTCCTTTGGATGTGGGATTTATGCTCTTTTATATTTACCCTGAAGGCTTATGGGAACTAAGTTACACCCAACTTGAACTAAAACCTTTTCATACATCTTCCAAAAGAAAACTGAAGACAAGTCATATTCATGGCAGATACTGGATTCCTATCAGCTCAGTGATGTCTGCAGAATTATAGGTCTGTTTTCACCAGTTCTGACTCTGCCCATACTATGGAGCAGATAGTTTCTCTTATAAATATTTATCTGAGCAAATTTTTCGTTCACACTCCTAAAATGCTAGATTTACTGACTCAATACTATTAACAATATCTGTCCTAATTTTTGTCAGCATGTAAAACGCAATGGGCGGGCTAAGAACAACTCTTCAACTTTTTGTGGCGATTCCTTTCCCTCTTTGAGAACCTCTGACAACTTAAGTCCTCAGGTGTAAACTGATTTCTACTTTTTATCTTCAACACTGTAAGCACTTTCCTACTAGGGGTGGGAGAAGGCATTCAAAAAGGCTTACAGAGATAATCTTTACTTAGGCTGTATCATTAATTAGGCAACGTGGCCAGGGCCAGTAATTACAAACATGCTAAATTGCACTGATTTCTGTAGACAGTTCAAAAGAAGCAACAGGCAAAGTTAAAGAAACAAAAGCCAACACAGTGACTTTTCTTTCCTAATGATTTCTAGTATGTCTGCTGCGAAAAATGCTTAACACGGACACGGCTGATATAGACGGCCAGTATGGGAATGATAGAAGAGCAGCACACGAGCTCTCGCCTCCGGTGGAGAAGCTGGACAGCAACACCCACATCTCCCATTTCAGTGACCCATTGTTTTGCCAATTATCAGGCCTAGCATAAAGGACACAGCCAGCATAAAGATGAACCAATAACCAGATTGTATTTGACACAAAAGGGTCAGCACATGGGTGAGCGCTGGGGGGACAAACAAGTCAGTCAGGTTATACATAATCTACATCAATCCCACTGACCCCAACAACGACACCGCACAGCCAACAATGGGGGGAATAAACGGTGACATGCAGTCTCCCATAGAAGGGACGGGAGACAACCGAGTCAACAAGCCAAATCCATAAGACCAAAGAAGCCACACACTGAATCTCTACACAGCCCGCATTTACAAGAGCCAGACCTGACTGGAGCCCAGTCCCAGGGAGGCGGGAGGTCCTTCCCCAACAGGGAACTCTGCACAGGGCACCCACCTCACACACAGACACTGCCGCTCCTGCAGGGGGTCCCAGCTTTTATCCCTCAGTGGGACACCTGACCTTGGGTTACTTAATGTGGGACACCTGGGGCTTGTTTACCCAACGGCTCTGTCTGCAAGGCCACAGCACCCTGGGGGGAAGCCTAAAGGGAAACTCCCCCCCCTTTGGGAAGGGCTGTGGGAATCACCCAGATGTCAGCCTTAACTTGGGGTTTGGGGTTGAAACCCCAGCATTTCACCCATACAGACAAACTGCTGTTACCCTACATGATCCTACAACATCCTAATCTCTAAACTGGAAAGACATGCATTTGATGGATGGGCCACTCAGATAAGGAACTGGCTGGATGGTCACACTCAAAGAGTTATGGTCAATGGCTCCATGTCCCAGTGGAGAGCAGTGACAAGTGGCATTCCTTTGGGGTCGATGTTGGGACCAGTGCTGGAAGGTGTCCCTGCCCATGGCAAGGGGCTTGGAACCAGCTGATCTTTAAACTCCTTTCCAACCCAAACCATTCTGTGATGCTGTGATCCTCCATTCCTAACAGCAACTGGTAGAGAGGCTTCATTCAACTCACATAGAATTCAGTCTTAATCCCCCCAAACTCAACACAAGTCCCCTGGTCTGCATCTGCAACCTCTTTCGAAGCCCAGAGGGTCCCAATCCTCAAAGCTTCATCTGACTGCAGCTGACTTCATCCTGACATGAAGTTCCCAGTCCAGATCTCCAAGAACATTAAGGTGATGTCTGCTTGGGTGGTATGATTGGCACTGCTATACCTTTTCTACATTTTTTTTCTCCTAAGTCTTTTATCAGGACTGTTAGCAAAATCTCTTACCATTATTGAGTCAGATCTTAGTAGTAAGCTAAGAAAATTAAATTAACGTCATTCTCAGTAACATTTAGAAATTGCAAGCTAAGCAGCTGCCACTTATTCCTAGTAACTCAAAGTACATTATATTGAATGTCCTACAATAACATATATTGATTTTGTCAGGTTTGCGATTTTTTTTTTCCCCAAGCAACATATGTTGTGTGTTCTATATTTGTAGGGCGACATATACGCAGGTTTCATTGCAGCAGCTCTGACTCTTGCCAGATGTTGAGGGAAAGCAACTTAACACAACATGGGAAAAGCACAACATGTGTCAGATCAAAATGGTGGGTTAAGAAGAATCCTGTGGGTAATGTGGTATACTAAAAGCATTGATTATATATTTCCATACAGAACTGATATGTAGCTAAATTAATACTGGACTACATGTGTTGAAATCACATTATTATGCAGAATAAAAATAACAAATTCTAAGAATTATGTTAATTAAAGGAGAGAAACAAGATTTTTAAGTTCCAAAGGATCCATATAATTCATGTTAACCTAAAGACCAGATTCTCACTAATATTCTAATAGCTAGCTGAAATATTTTGAAAAGGGATGTTTTTAAACCACCCTTTGGAATAGTGAAACGCAAGTGATTCCCAGTCTAGAAATAAGAAGCATCAGTGTATTAACCTGAGACTGACAGACTTCTCTGCAATTTGTTGTAATATGTGTAATACCTAATCACTAGGGCTTAGCTTATTCCAATATTTTGTTCATGACTGAGCCTAATGACAGAATTCAGCTCAATTAACTCTCTGAGAAAACAAATAGGTTAATTTTTTACCATTCGGAATCAACATTTTTCATTATCTGAATATTTTCCCATTACGACAATAATTAGATTTGTATAAAAGTAGTCAGTTCAGGCAATGAAAACTGAAATTGAATCCTTCACATCTATTTTCCCCTTGAATTCAGTAAAAGTATTGGCTCGAAACATGGTAATAACTGCTTCAGGATTTTAGGCTTGGTTTAGCAAATATAATAAAAGACAAATTATGTTAGAAGACGTTTATGTTTACTTTCAGTGTATTTCTGATCTACTCAGGAACAACTCTTTGCATGTCCATGACGACAACCCTTCCTAACTGCAGGTATGTAACTACTGCTGCTTCTCAACTGGTACTGAGCAAAGAGTCTGCAACGCATTTCCTTTATCATGAAATAGAACTTGCAGTTCCAGAAGCCACAAATAAGCTCACACCACACCCCCCACCCCCCCCCAATATAGAAATAACTTCCAAAAGTTGGCAGGAAAACCTAGTTTCTTCCACATTCACTGCTACAGAAAAGTAATTATACTCCAATACAAATGTGTTTAAATAAACTTTTAAAACAGTGAAAAGATTCCACATGGGGGGAGGAATAAACCTAGCAGTAGATATTTTACAACATCTTCTAGTTATAAAACAGGTACTAAAGAAAAACATAAATCACAGTCTTTCAGAGTTCAGAGGTCAATTTTTCCATCCTAAACCCATGCAGACTAAAGGTTTATGGCACCATATAGATTTAAAAACAGAAGCCAGGATTCACTTATTTACCAGAGATTAGATACGGATTTCCTAAAACATCAAGTATTACAAAACATCACCTAAAATCTTGCTTTTTGAAAATGTTATTTGACAGTCGACTGGATCTAGGACAGCTGATCTATTGTCTATATTTCTGTTCACTTTCAATTATCTATGTTTTTAAATTCATGAACAGTAAAGCCAATATTAATATATTTAGCAACAGAATATTATTAAAGCAAAAACTCTAACGACTTACACAAATCCACATGTTAAAAATTATTCTAGTTTCATATATGTTTGTGAAAGCTTCCCAAGCATCATAGGAAAACTGAACATGAAGACAAGTCAAGGTTTGTAAATAAGATTCTACGTAAAACAAATCACAAGAAGTCTTATCATTGGCATGTGATTGCATTTAGACAAAAACATGTCAAGGTACATACCTGTAAATCTGTTTAATATTTTCAGCTTTGATTTCCTTGAGAATTTCACGGTAGATATGAGGGTTATTTGGTTCTTGAGATGTTGGGGGAGAAGGGCATTTCTTGCGTGCATAATATCCTATCACAACTCCAAAAATAAATAAAATCAAAGCAGTGCAAAGTACTTTCAGTATCCGAAAAAAACTGCAGCGGTTGCTCTTTGGTGCCTGTCTCGTATAGTGTGAGACGTAGTCAGGGTCTTCCTGAAGCCGCTGGAATCTTCCCTTTGGAGAAGATGAAGGCTGGATGGGCTCGAGATCAAGGTCAGGGCTCTGCGAGTTTCCCAGGTGATGCTGGACTGCACCATCTAGTCGGAAATGGTCAAAGCCAGGCTCCTCCAGCTCTTTTTCCATGTCCCATTCCAGTTCCAGCGCTGTGGCTTGAAGCTCATCGTTGTCAAGGTACGGAGAGTGCCCTTGTGCTCTCTGGTCCGCATTCACCTTGTGATAGGCCATATTTTTATCTATTAAAACAAAATTTACAAAACCCCTAAATGTTTGTTTCCTTATGTATGCATCAACAATTTATGTATTGTTTGTAAACCTGGAAGAACTCAACAGACACAAAAAGCAAAAACTGGGTTCTCAGTATTTCTTTTTCCCTGTTTCCTTCTTCCTGTTCTTTTCTAGGATTAGCAGTCCCATGAACATTGTCAGAGGGGAAATAAGATATTTAAGGGAATATAATATATATTGTAGGAATACGAATAAAGGGAATTTACAAGTGCCAATTATTTTGTCAGTCCCCAAGATAACATGAAAAAGTTGAGTGAAAGCATACAGTTTTCAAAACAATTATTTATTACCTGAAAATAATTTCAAAGCATAAAAACTATGTGTTTCTATATCATTTCACACATCATACAAAATAATGCTGTTTAAAGTAAAGTTGAAAAAGTAGAAATAATATAACCTGCCTGATCTGATTCGAAACACAAGGAAACAATAAGTTAAAAAACTGTACTTACACATCAATAAAGGGCTTCCATTTAGATGGAGCATTCTATTATTTATAGGTATTTTAAATGCATAGATCCTGAATGACTGATGAATTTACTTAGAAATTGTCCCAGCTGTTTTGCTCCACTTATTTTTCCCATTTTAGTGAATCAAAAGCACTGCCAGGTAAGTATTTATATCAAAATCATTCCCTGAATAGCAAGGCAGATCTGTGGCACTTCTATATCTAGGGAGGTACGAGCCCTCTAAAGAGAACTCTGACCTCCAGTACAAACATTCAAAGTCAATTTTCAACAAATCATTTTTAACAGACTGCAACAATAGGGCGCCGTTCTCCTCCATACGTTGACAATAGCTATTCCATCACATAAGCATCTGTAATTTAGGGCTTTTCAAACATCAGATTCACTCATCAATTAGAATAAAATGAAGATAAAGATATTAAACCTCTCAGTGATGGATATTGGACTGACACCTACAGCACTACATTATCCCTCCATTTTTATATTTTAAAGAATTTTCTTTCTCTAAGACTTACCTCCAGATAACATTATTGAGGCCTCATAATAGATGAACCTACTCTAATGGCAAACTAGAATTTAGCTTTTTGAAGCTCTCTGAAGAAAGCAAACCATTAGAAAGCACTGATAAAATGAAACAGCCCATTGTCCACTGAAAGACTATCTTGCTCTATACATTTCCAATTTACAGATCCTATTTCCTCGTACAGCCATATAAATATCCCTTGCCTATAACTGTCAGGGAGTCTAGGAACAGTCAAGAGAGCCTATACTCGAGGTATACATTTCAAGTGTAGCTACTGTATGCACTTTGCGAATCAATTCTCTACCTGCAACCCAAATTCTTCTATATGCAGTGGAAGCAACAGAGTTTAGTGACCTGAACTAAAGCATCTTAAATTAATGTGAAAATTGTCATTATTTATTTAAATAACGATTAACAGCCGTTCTGGCTGAACTTTACGAACTTTCTGCTAGCCCAGCCCTCAGGTTTCTGAAGGTCCCTCTAAACTGTAATGCTGCAATCCAGCAGGTCAACCTCTTCCCCCACAGTTTTGCATCACGTCGAGATTTCTGAAGGGAGAACGTTGTCTCCTCATCCAGGTTGTTAAGCAAGATGTTTAATAACGTCAGGCCCAGAATTGATCCCCAGTGCACTAAGCTTCTTACCAAGCACCAACTGGACATCAAGTGATTATTTTTTTTTTTTAATATTCTCTGGAAAACTGTGCTAACCAATTTTCAAACTTTATCTGTCTTTTCACTCTGTCTCCTCCTGTTTTGTTGGTGGAAGGATTAATTTGCAAGCCATCAATGACGGAGGTCACTACTAGATAATAACAACTGCCCAACAACCTCATCTTTCCAATTTCATTTCATACTGCTCTTTACTGAAATTAAAGGCACGAGTTTTGTCCTTAAAAAGCAAACCAGATCATTACAGTATTCCATAAATACATGATTTTGACGCAATCACTAGTCATTTAACAAACTGCTTTAGCCAAATAAAGAAGCCCTTAAGAGTTTACTAAAGTATTACTCATAGAACTCAATGAAGACAGGTTTTCAGAGGCAACTGCATGGCAAATATTAATCTTGCTGAGCTTATAAGCGTTGACCATTGTATATCCAAGGTAGTTAGGTTCTTTCTGTATTTACGATATTTTAAATATGTATGTTATTGTTCAGTGGAGTGTATTAATAAAGGTTATTTAAATCTACACGTAAGCACATAATAAAAATTCCGATGAAATTTCTTTAAATGGTCGTTAATGCAGATGACTAGGAACCACATTCCACAGCTCAGTATCTTAACAGTTTTCATACAAACCGCCAAAATCAGCTACCTCAGTCCAGAAAAATACCCCAACCCAAGCCTCTAAATGAACTAAAATAAAAATCGATATTCAATTCAGTTTTATGTTTAAGATCAGTGTTTGAAGTATGGTATCTTCTTAGCAATGCATTTCCTTCAGTTAAAGAGTGCAAAGAATGCAGGAGTAGCCCAAATTAACATCTTTGCTTTTTCTACTAACATTGCTAAATCAATTCTTCGAGTGTAAGGACACAGCACAACTTAGCAAGAAGTACCTGAGATTAGTGCCCACAGTGTGTTTAACCACACCCACAGTGCTTTTAGAAAGGGATCTCCTGGTTCTCAAGGTACAACTCATCTGGGCCATGTAATCTATAGTACCAGTTCTATTTAGTATCTGGTTGGTTAAAGAAGTAGATGGGACAAAGATTATATTTTAAATTTAATTTTAGATAGGAATAAAAGGATAAGGAAAACACTACACAGGGAAAAACAAACAGACAACACAAAGATGGATAAACTACGAAGTCAAGAAAAAACACTACAATACTCTAGTTCAGTCTTTTCTATCACACAGACCATAAAATGAACATATTTTAGAAAGACACTTTTGAAAACTTCAGGAGATAGAAAATCCATCCCATCTGCCAGCAAGCTGTTTCAACATTTAATTGTTGTTAAATACATGTTTTATTATAAAGATAAAAGAGCAACTGCAAAATGCCAGAAGTCTGAATGTGCACGGAGTGAGCTTTAAAGCCATTCCACAGGGACAGCAAAGGCAATCATAAACTCTGGGATACTGGACAGAGCCAAGCTGATGACCAATAAAGTTGATGTGCATTTCTACATTTTCACTTATTTGTGAGGAGAATGTTTATGAAGAGGTAACAAATCAGTGCTAAATATCCTTTCAGTTAACTATCCACAAGAAATCAGGAGTCAGCTTTATCAGATTACTGCCTTAACAAGCCCCTGCGTTTCCATCCTGTCCGATAGGTACATCTTGCTATGAAACAACCAGAAACTTTTTTTTTTTTTTTGTGATAGCTTTACTGCTTGAATCCCTTATCAACAAAGTCTTTGAAAACTATATAAGGACTAAATGAAAGCTGTTGCATCTGTCTCATTGCCACGCTCTAATACCTCCGCAACAGAAAGGTCCGTTTATACGTTTTATGAAACCAACAAGGAATGGCCAATATGAATATATTACAGAAATTGTGACTGGTGCTGCAGTTGTTAAATCCAGTTCATAAATAACTGAGACCGTTAGCAGGCTCATTCACAGCAGGCAGAGTGGCAAGTGTCAACACGCTGCCCACAACAAACGCCTTCTTGGGCCATTTGGCATTCATTACTGAAAAGTTTTGCCCACAAATTGCACTGAAGGCATTGTGGCCTCTTAGTATAGTCATAAAACCGGAAATCCAGGGCTGTTGGCCGATAGAATTTGTAAAGGTCCTTTCATTTTTATTTTCTTCTTGATATTTACTATAAAGAGTGCCTTTGCTTTAAGTCCTTGTAATCTCTTTGTGCCTAGGCAAACCCCAAAGCAGATATAATGTCACCTGTTTGAAGGGCAAAGAGCTGTACTTATCATGAAAATCGACACCCACAGCACATACAAGTCTGTAAAGTGTATATAACAACAATTTAGTTCTTTGTTAAATGAGATGATGCCAAGTTTCAGGCCTAGACAAATTTCTTCAGAGCTATAAATCCCTGACAAAAGTTGTTTGCAGAAGAGATTATGATGCCCTTGTTAACAGCAACATTACGCTACGCTGTAATTCAAAAAATAATGTGATATTTCCATCATCGCTTCCTTAATTTTCTGCAGTAATGATTTCTCCCTTCCCTCACATTTGGGATATGGGCTTGGCAACCAGTTCAGTTACGGCAGGACAATTAAGTTCCTTGTCACTCTGCACAACCACCGTATAAAAACAAATGACAAAACTTACCAGTTGTTCATGTTTCACTAGCTGACTGAAGGCAAACACAGTATGACAGAACATGCAGTGTTGCAGCAGAAGACAGAGAGATCAGACTTGAGAAAAAAGGTGTGTAGAACACAGCTGAGTCCAAGTTCTCTCCTCACATAACACTAATACATACTTTTTGGCATACGTGAGTGATGCAGAATATTTAACTTCTTCAAAATCTCTCGCCAATTTTATTGTATCATGAACACCTGTGTGGACCAGGATACTATTAATACACAAAGGATGATACATGACAAGAACAGGGTCTGTGATGCACATTGACTGATAAAAGCAGAGCACAACCATGTCCAGCCGGAAGCAAGAGTTAAACTTGCCTGTCAAAGCAGTGATCAAATGTGTCAGCCACTTAAGCTGTAATATCCTGGGCCATCCAGGTGTGCATAGGTACACACGTATGTATTTTCCTGTTGCCTTTTCAGAACCTTTGAAGTCCTGGGGCTCACATCAGGAAAACTGCAAGGTAGCACCCTCTCCCCCAGCAGATAAATATCATATAAAGGTGAGGCAGACTCAGCTGGTCTCTAATACACTGGGCACGTATTACTAACATAGATCTTTTCCATCCTCAGACGTGCTTTAGTTTGCAAATACCTATTTCCCAGAAACAAAACTCAGAAATATTTACTGAACTTACAGACAGAAGCTAACAGCATCCATGA